TATAGAATGTTCAGGTATTGAGAGTGGACAAACCAGTAAATGACCGATCCTGAATGATAGATGAATTTATAAGATACCATTTTCGTTATTATTATCTCCAATTCTTAAATTATTCACCAATTTTTTATGACAACACTGTAACTTAGTTTTGTTCTTCAAAATAGTATAAGAAATAGATCGTGTTCTGTGGTTCTGTATTTTTGGGAGCGCACTGTGCCTTTTTGATGAATCGTGAATTGACTGTGGTAATGATTGAATTGAAATTCTCCTGTGTAATAATGCCAATATATCAACCTAATCAATATCCCACATAACACGTTTTTGACAATTAGCCTGTGGTTCAATATGTAAAATTGTTTAACTTTACATCACAAAAACACAAGGAAATACAGTGCTTTTCTTCAATGCCCCCCCCCTTTTATTTTTTGAACAGGTCAACTCAAAAAATTGAAGTTTGGGACAATGAAATTAGTACATGAATACTTTATTTTGAAGTGAAATTGACGGAAGAAACTTTCATGATGGCGACTGGGCGCCATCTGGGAAAAAAACATTAAACGGAAAGGAGGGTCTTGTAACACATCTTTTCGAAGCTCCTGACAAATGCTTCACAACCCTAGGATATAGTGTCAATATCTTCAACTACTACAAAATGGCGGAACTTTCAATAATTGACATTTAACTATTATTGAGGTCAGTTCAGAAGAAGCTCGAAATGGTTGCCTTGAACTTCTTGACATATGAACAACCTATCCGATATTTCACGCCGAACCTTTTCGAACACCGTAACGTCAATATCTCTAGAAATATTTATTATTCAAATCTACCGAGCGTGCTGGCCATTCTCTAGGACGGTCAATCCAACGACCGGGAAAAGTAGTAACCAAATGGTTTCTTACTTGTCTGGAGTAATGTGGTGGTGCTCCATCTTGTCGGAATACAATATCAAAATCGAATTCATTAGGATTTGCTTCGATGTTTTCAGTGATGAGAGGGTCAACAGTAGTTTCCAGCATATTCAAATACAGTTCCTCTGTTAAATTTTGATCAATAAATAGAGGTCTCACAATATGGTTTCCCAATATTCCTGCCCAAACGTTAATTTTTTCTGTACATTTGGTATGTGTTTCCCGGAAAAAATGAGGGTTGGTGTTATTTCAATAACGGCAATTTTGTCTGTAAACATTGCCGTTTAAAAAAATGTACATTCGTCACTGAAATAAATATGGTGGAGATAGGTAGAATGCCTTGCAATGGTTTCCGTCAGGATTTCTTAAAATTCTGTGCTTCGATCAGGGTCATCTTCAGTTAATTGGTGTACCATTTTGATTTTGTATGGATGATACCTATTCCTCTTCAATAGTCTTTATACAGACTTTTTTGTATGGATTTTGTATCGATGATACCTATGCCTCTTCAAAAGTCTTCACACAGTAGATGCACCTCACAAACATTCGCGACGGAATAAATAGACTGTTCAGGATTCACTACCATCTCACTAATTATTTGCACTTGCTGTTCTTCCGGAATGGACGGATGACCTAGGGGCTTTCTTTATGTACACTACCAGTAGTTGTGAATTTGGATACAAGTTCCCTCAAATATTTTCTAAAGATAGGACGATTCGGAAAACGTTCATTGAAAATCCTTTCGGTCTCGTGAAAGTTAGGCGTCGCACCGTGAATAAAAAACGCTTCAATTTTGTCTTCCAATGAACTAGAATTGACCATTTTAGAGATTGTTGACGTGGTACTTTTCTACTAGTAAAACCGAAAACTAAATGGGAATATTCTTTGTGAACAATGATGTTCATTGTCGTACTGACATTTTTTGTCGTTTTTATAAACAACAAATTATTTAAAAAACCTTATCGGGTTGTTGAAATTGCCATATGGTAGATAAAAAGGAATATTTCTAGAAATATCGATATCAATGTGTTTGTGTTCAGGAAATTATTAAATGTTCCGTTAAATGTTGTGGAATTGGCCGCGGTGGAAGTCCGCCCGACTCACGATCGGAAGACCGTAGGTTCGATTCCTGCCTCGACCAGATATTTTTCTGAGAGAATTTATCTGGTTGAAGCTGGGATGATTCTGCAACCGTGTTAGAAATTACACATTGAAAGGTAAGACCTCGTTAGTTTTTAACTCGCACGAGTTTCTCACCTTCTGAGAGTTGTTGTTCGTATGGGGGCGACAGCTGATTAACGGAAAAACAGATTTAAAGAGATTTTGTAGTACGTGAGGATATTGACTTCATATTCTACGGTTGTGAAGTATTCGTCAGGAGCTTCAAAATAAAGTATTCATGCATTCATTTCATTATCCCGAATTCCAAGTTTTTGAGTTGACCCGTTCAAAAAATAAAAGGGGAGGGACATTAAAGAAATGCACTGTAAATCTATTCAAACGCGACTTCTAATTATTTTCCAAACTCTTATTTAACTTGCAATGTTTGTATATATGTATGTTACTTCGGGTTAAATTTTGCAACTGAATTTTGAAGTTATCCTCAACATTGGATTTGAATCGCTGGAAAAACAAATTTTATATTTGAATTGATCCTAATTTCAACTAATCCTCCTGGTTAGCATTATCAAAGTATGTGCAAAAATAATAACATAATTATGGGATGCATCTATAGTAATTAGGTACTGTTTATCGCCTGAATATCAAGGCAAAAACACGTACGTGAATGATGAAAGGTGGCTCATTTTACTAATTTCAAGGTTTCTGCTGTAACGATTAGTGAAATATGCGCATTCCTGTGGTAATTATCAATTGCTGATACACTTGTACTATGTACTATGTGAGTACAACTTGTAATTGAAAAATGAAGTTGTTGTAACTGTCATACAAAAAGTTCACTTTATGTTGCATTGGCAAATTTCGGCGTCTGTTTCTCCCTACATCAAGTTATCTCGTCATCTATAGATGACGTCATAGTGCCGTTATACTGAATTTTGAGAAAATCATTGAAAAAAGAGAATTTCATATTGGGTCGAATGGTCGACAAAAACTTACAGGGTTCCATTTGAAATTTTTGACTTTTAAAATAAATTACTTTTTATCTTTTTCGTTCAAATTTCCAAGGATAGACCTCCTGTAGAACTAATTTATTGTCACTTTCTATATTCCGATCCCCTACACAGTTCTTATTTTTGTGTCGAAAAGTACTGAAAATGATACCTTCTCATACAAATTTTGTTTAATTGTATATCTTACCCCGTTCAAAAGTTGAGAGGGGGGTACTATTCATGTCCGCATTGTATATGAAGTGAGCATACTTTTTTTCCTCTTAGATTGGCTGTTTTTGATGTGATACACTCTATACTTGTGAATAAATGCTAGGGGGGTACTATTCATGTCCGCATTGTATATGAAGTGAGCATACTTTTTTTCCTCTAAGATTGGCTGTTTTTGATGTGATACACTCTATACTTGTGAATAAATGCTAAAGACATCCACGAATTTAAAAAATAACAGTTAGAAGAATGATGAGCAATTATTACCAGACTTCACATATGTCCCAACCTGCAAAATCACAAATAATTGTTCAGATCTTTAATTTCTGGTTAACTTGACATTGTCAGTCATTCAATGTGCTTTCTGGGCCTCTGTGAGTGAAATTCTGTAATTTCCCGGATCTTTTTATTATTTCTTAGTCACGAATGTCATAGACCTGTGTTTTTGACAAAATATTTTACACTAGGTCTAACAGATCACACTAGTGACTTTCTATTCATCTTACATCGTCTAAGTACTGAAACCTTCGAAAAAGAAAGTAATACAAATCATGAAATTATGAAACAACAAAAATTAATTGGCGCTCCGGGGCGACTTCATTGATTCCAGTGGCGCATTTGCTTTTTCAGCTGCAGAAAATCCCGGAATAACTTGCAGCAACACATCATCTGAAGAACTTTATCGGCCAATGTCCTCTCTTTCATAAAACAAAATGTAAGGTGTCTCCAGAGGCTCCAATAAATTCAAGATATCGCAAGGACACTTAGTGACACGACTATCGCTAAACTTAAACCAGTCCATTTCTTCTCTGACCAATGCGTAATAATGACCAGATTCAACGCCACAACCACAGTGAACAATGACTGCATGATGATTATGATAGTGTTCTGCTAGATTGAATAGTTCATCTCTTTGGAACCTTCGTAAGAGTTTGATACTTCCGTCAGAAGTTGAGTCATGTTTGAAGATCAACAGTGTTATTATTAGGTTGACTGGTACCTCAGATATACTAGTTTTCTTATAGTAGTCAGTTAATTTGGCGCATGTTTGGCAATACAGTTGATCATCACCCGTTAAAAGTTTCATTACCATCTGATTCAACAATAAGCTTTGCACGGACTGGTTATCAGTCATATTAGGAAACGCTAGTTGAAGTTCCAGAAAATCACATACGTTTTTGCTACCTCTTGAACAATTACTACAAAGTAAACAAATGAGGATTTTTCCAGCTGAAGATTTACAAACACAAGACGAGATAGACTGTACGGAATCATTCAATTCAGAGCGGTCAGGAGTATTGATTCTACTATTGTTTTGCTCACGAAGACTATTCAACAAGAACCCCAAGAATTCGGAACAATCCTCTTTTTGTCCTAATAAGTATCTGGTGGACTTCAAAGACTCCAGGAAATCGGTTGGTGGGAAAGATGATACATTCTTACCAAACTGCAACTGCATGAACAATTGTTTGAGTTTGATGAATAAGTAGGAAACATTCTCGTTCTCAAAAACTTCGTTTTTGAAATTCTTCGCCATGAAATAAACTTGTGAAATGCTATTCATGCCTTAAGTGTTTCCTAAATTATCCAATCCAATTTTCTTCTCAAGATTATCAGGACAACTGTCTACTGATTCGTAAGAAAGAACATATTTCATGTACTGAAAGTAGAACCGAAGCCGTGGTGATAATAGTTTGAACTTGATAGGACAAGAATGTAATGTCAGTCACAAAACATCATGCATTTTTGACAAATCGAGCAAATAAAGTAGATATTACAAATTTCGTTATTGTTCATGGAAAACACTCTTTCTATCAACATTTACATTTTGAAGTGAAGCCCTGAAGGAGAAACTGTTTGCGGTAAGAATAAATTATCGTAAACAATAAGTGACACCATAAAGTAATTAGGAATTGTAATTTCAATTTGTATGGATTATTGCACAGTTCATCTGTAAACTGCAAGGCTGTCGCTGCTCTTGCGTATTATCTGATTTAGAACTTTATTTTTCCAAGGTGAACTGGAATACATATTTGACTGTATGGGTAATATTTCGAAGTAGGTTTATTTGTACGAGGATTTAATGACATTAAATCACGAGTCATTGTAACAACGAGCCTTCAATACCATGAATACTGTGATGGTTATTCCACACATTCCAAAAAACAACAAACATTATTTCACATTTTGAGGAATTGAACAGTTTGCATCGTCATCAATTAGACAAGCGAATAATATATTCATTTCATACAAATACAAATAACTTTCTATAAAATATTTGATAGAATTGACCGATTCTTGATGAAAATCCATAACTACAAGTAGAAATTTAATGTGAGATTTTCATTGGAAATTTTACGGCACCGCAACCCGTGTTTTTTTATACAATAGCTTTCTCGAGTGTTTTCATACAGCTTCAGAGAGCTGTTGCCATTTTGTTAATTTTCCAGTGAAAATCTCACTATAAAGTATTACTTGAAATATCTATAAAATAACCCTTTCCCTTAACGCAGGAGCCGCCAAGATAGTATGATTATCCGACAGATAATCATACTACTTACGCTATGGACCCAAAGACGGGTTAAAGTCTAGGCACACTGCGGCAGGACAGCCTGGAACGGGAGTATGACATGAAGTTTATTTTCTCTTTCAATAATTTCTTGTGAAAAAAACCTAGAAGCTCTGTATTTCAAAAATGACTCTAGCAAAACATCAAGTGTCCCGTGGGTTGGGCTACCTATCGGGCGCGTCCCCAGGTGGCGGACTGGGGACTGGGGGGCCCTGTCCGGAAAGATATGTGGCCTTACGGACAGGATCGCCTACCCAAGCTAAGGTGTAAGGAATTGAGCCGACAGCTGAATTGTTGCAGGGCGATATGAGGTTACAAACGATCCCCTTGGGGAAGCGGGCGAAACCTCATTGTAATGAGCCATGGTAATGTGGGGCTCTGTCAGAGGTGACCAACTCTTTCCTTGCTACTCGTGGGAACACACATATATGAAACGAAGAAAACAGACACAACAAAAACCAATCCCGAGGCTGGACAGAACGGCTCACCTCAATCTAAGGCAGAAGCAGTAGCTGGGGATGAACAGAAATGTCCACCCCAATCTACCGCTCGGAATGAGGCTGGACATAGCAGATTACCTCGTGATGTAATACAAAGGCGGCGCATTTGCGGTACCGAGGCCAAAAGGAGAAAGAGAACGAAAGAGGCAGGAGTGGCAACAACTATAAGGGCACCCTCCTCCTCCCACACTCCACCTCCAACAACAAGGGCACTTCCTGCGGCGGGTGCCAATATCACCGACTTGAATAAAGGCAAGGAACCGGCTGCCCCTGTAGGAAAGCGCCCTCACTTGAACACCTCCACCAACGAGAGTAATGCCGCTGCACCTTCCAAAACCTTCGCGGAGGCCGCCGTGAGATACCTCAAGGTTGCCAAAGAGAGTGTGTGTTAGGCGAGACTTGACCTACACCAGCCGATATAAAGGAGATGTCTCCCAGTGACCTGTCCACCTTCCTGAAAAGGACAGGATGGACAATGACCTAGGAGGACAACTTCTCGGGAGGACGTACAATGCTATGAATGTACAAGTGCTATGAGTATTCACTCACCCTCCCTACTATATACATACATACATACATACATACAATATCAAGTATGCTACATTTCTGGAAAGGTAATTTTAAGCTATTGAAATATGCAGGAATACACAGGGTGTCTCATTTAAAAAATCCAACAATAATTCTCGATATCTCATTTGAACAAATACGTTTCTTACACCATTGAATTCCACGTAAAAAAGTGCTCCGGAAATGTTTTCATAGAAATAAGATATTTTTGATGTGAAAAAAGTTACAGCAACTTTTCTAAAATGCACATTTTCACTCATAAACGATGATTTCAGATCTTGAAAAAACCCTGAATCGATGGAAATATTTTTCCACAATAATGAATCCTAACTGAATAAATAAGACTTATTTACTGTCGTTCATAGGAAACAGAGTGAACGTAGTAAATAAATTATAGTCTGCATAAAATCATGCATTGTTTGTAAGAAATGAAGTTAAATAATTACTAGTCACTCGAAATAAAATTGAACTCTGGTATTTCCAGAATCCTCAGATGAAATAACACGAAAACAATATTCGATTCATAAATCTTATTATACTACATGAGTATTTGTGTCCAATTAACTGTAATGTCACCACGTGTATACATATAAAACGTATCAAGCGGTAGAGATCCGGTCTGCTGTAATTCATAAATGTAACAAATCGTAAGTACAAGTATGTTTGTTGGCTGTCTACATTCGACATGCGAATGTTGATCATAACAATGATATTTGAATTATTAACTATAATATCTTAATAAATACTTATTTAATCACGATCGGAAGACCGTGGGTTCGATTCCCGCCTCGACCAGATATTTTTCTCGAGAGAATTTATCTGGTTGAAGCTGGGATGATTCTGCAACCGTGTTAGGAATCACACGTTTAAAGGTGAGACCTCGTTAGTCCTTAGCTCGCACAAGTTACTCAACTTCTGAGAGTTGTCGTTCGTATGGGGGCGACAGCCGATTAACGGAAAAACAGATTTTAAAACAGATTTTTAATTAAATCAAAATGAGCGCCATTTGAATCAGTGCACTTTTGCCAACGCAACACAAGTCGATTAATTCCGTCAGCATGATAATTTTGTGCCATGCCATTTTTGCCTGGCCCTGATTGGCAAAGATTCTAGCAGTGAGAAAGTTAAGGAAGTGCTTGAAGAGATGGTAGTCGGTTGGCGATGGGTCTGGGGTGTATGGTGGGTGAAGCAGAAGTGAGACTCCTAATTCGTTTAATTTTCTGACGGAGATTTGTGACACGTGCGGACGAGCGTTATCGGGAAGCAGGATCGGACCGCTTCTGTTGACTCTGGTGTGATGGTTTGGCCCGGAATCACGGGCCGAATCAAACACGGAATCACACGTCAAAAGGTAAGACCTCGTTAGTCCTTAGCTCGCACAAGTTTCTCAACTTCTGAGAGTTGTCGTTCATATTGGGGCGACAGCTGATTAACGGAAAAACAGATTTAAAAAAAACAGAACAGTGATATTGTCGAGATGCTTTGGACGCTTTTGCATCTCATATGGATTGGTATCGTCCCGCATTCGTCAATTTTTTTTGTTTACGTAACCATTAATCCAGAAATGGGATGAAAATTAGGTCAGTTGACAACTGCTTCAAATCCCATTCAACAAATACACGTCGTTTCGTCTGTGGTCGTTTACCTTCAGTTTCTGGGTCAGTTTTCTACGGGTGCAGGCCCAAGTCACGACGCAAAATTCGCCAGGTTGTGCTCTGCGAAAGGCCAAATCCTTGTGAGCGACGCGATATTCTCTGAGACGGCGGCAATGTTTTCGGAAGATCTTGCGTTTTGTCGACGTATGGGTGTTGGTCGTTCGTTTACTGAACAAGTGGACTCAAAGTCATTCACAACATTGCGAAAAGTCCTCTCGGTAGGACGACTATGGCGAACGTATGGGCGTAGCGCGCGGTAAGTTGTCCGAACAGATCACCAATTTTGATAAAACAAATTTATTATTTGCACATGTTCTTGAATGCTATATCCTTCCAGGTCTCAACCATTTTGTTCGGAAGTTCCTGTTAGAAGACCCTATAAACGGCTTGAAATCGAAGTCAAATATACAGGGTGTTCATTAAACATGCGGCAAAAATTCAAAGGACTCTTCCTTGGACAATTCTAATTATATTTTGTCTTTTGGTGATTTTTGATAGGGCGCTTTGTTTCGAAGATACGGAGCGAAAAAGAATTTCGACAATAATTGCAATTTTTTTCGCCCCGTATCTTCGAAACAAAGCGCCCTATCAAAAATCATCAACGGACAAAATATCCTTAGAATAGTCCAAGAAATAGACCCTTGATTTTTTGCCGCATGTTTTAAAAGATCATGAAAAAAACGATGAAATTAAAAGTAAAGAGCAAGGCTTATAATTTACCATTTAATCACATAGAAAATGGTACATCAAAAGCAAAATCGCCTTTCACATCTTAGAGAGCCCGTACACGAGCCACATTTCGCGGTCGAATCGACCACACAAGTCGCGTTCCAGCGAACTCAAGCCGCCTATAGGTCCGGCCGTACACGGACCACATATTTGTAGTTGAGGCAACCACAACATTGTGGCCACGTTGACTGCACTTCGCGGTTGGCCCAACAATATTTTTGTGGTCGACTTGCGGTCATATAGACCGCACTTGCAGTTGAGGCAACTGATACCAAAAATTGAATGCTGTGAAACCAATATGTACGCGGTTGGGTACGACTGCAAGTTTGTGGTTCGTGTACGGCGGATGCCGCGATGACATCTTGGCGGAGATCAGTAGCAAGTTGACTGCAGAAACCCGTTTTGACTTTTGTGAACGCCCGTGTACGTGTAGTACAGTATTTCTTATGGGCGGCTTGAGTTCGCTGGAACGCGACTGCAATTGTGTGGTCGATCCGACCGCAAAATGTGGCTCGTGTACGGGCGCTCTAAGAAATACTGTACTACACGTTCACGGGCGTTCATAAAATTCAAAACGGGCTTCTGCAGTCAACTTGCTACTGATTTCCGCCGAGATGTCATCGCGGCATCCGCCAAACACTAACCACAAACTTGCAGTCGTACTCAACCGCGTATACCGTTCACTTTCTGATTTCAAAATTCTAATTAATTTATCAAAAGAACTGATGGACATTCTGAAGTAATTAAAAAATGTTTTTCGTCTTGCCGGAGTTTACCGGTTGTTGCTTGTATGTTATTTCATTGTAGTTTCAGTTTTTTGCTTAATAAAGTTGTCATTTTTT